ATTTAAGTTATTCATGTTCATGGTATGACTCTTTCTACATTTTTTAACTTCTCATTCTTTATCTCTTTGTGTTTGTTATGCTGCCAAGCGTTCGTTGTTCCATTGTGCCGTTTATGGACCTAAAAGCCTGAGACATTAGCTGCCATGTTCGTCATTACCTATTCTTCCTCCTCACGGAGTCTTCCCACTGTTGGTGTCACGGTGTCACGCCAGCATTGCTGCTGGCACAATGTTGCCGATCTCCTATAAACATTTTCTTTCGAGTGTTTGGTTTGGTATTCGCGTCTAGCGTTGTATGTGTAACCAATGCGTGACTCATGAATTTTGCATTTTGTTAGACACATGCTACGGATATGGATATTGAATAAACGATCTAATTTTTTAATTAAAATATCAGTTACCTCCGATTTTCAAACATGACGCAATCGAGCAGACCTTTCCTACACATGGAAAAATTTTCCGCTTCCGGAAAAAGCATTTGAAAGTTAAATCAGCTACAGGACTTGTCAGGTCGATAAAATTCATTATCTGATTTTAGCTATAAAATTGTAAAATAATCAGCAGCGTAATGCCATTAAGTGAGTACAGCGGCGAGATGTACAGGCTATCAACACGGAGGTTCGTAGTTGAGGTATCAGGCTGTGCAATTGCCGCAAGACGTCGAAATGTACTTGGATGATACAAGAGCCAATAACGTTGATTTAACTCGCTTCAGTTTGAAGTTATCCAGAAGTGCAGTTGAACTGCATTACTGCATAAGCTCGGTGTGCTTGAACGCCTGGTACGTGGGTTGGCTGATTTTGTGTAGCTTGCGAAGCGCTATTTAAACTTCGTTGCTGCTGTGGCAAGAGTGCTGGGAGATGGTGTGCAGCACACGTGTTTTCTGTGTCGTGCTGTGAGCCGCGGTGTGTTCCGTGTTGGGTGCCGTGCTCTGTGCCGTGCTTGACGTGTGCCGTGCTTAGGGCCGTGTAAGGTGCCGTGCTCTGGTCGTGCTTGACGTGTGCCGTGCTCAGGGCCGTGTAGGATGCCGTGCTTAGGGCCGTGCTCTGTGTCGTGCTCTGTGCCGTGCTTGACGTGTGCCGTGCTTAGGGCCGTGCTTGACGTGTGCCGTGCTTGACGTGTGCCGTGCTTGACGTGTGCCGTGCTTGACGTGTGCCGTGCTTGACGTGTGCCGTGCTTGACGTGTGCCGTGCTTGACGTGTGTCGTGCTTGACGTGTGCCGTGCTTAGGGCTGTGCTCTGTGCCGTGCTTGACGTGTGCCGTGCTTAGAGCCGTGCTTGACGTGTGCCGTGCTTGACGTGTGCCGTGCTTAGAGCCGTGCTTGACGTGTGCCGTGCTTAGGGCCGTGTTGGGTGCCGTGCTCTGTGCCGTGCATTACTTGCGTCGTGCTGTGCCTGAAGCAGCTGCCGAGGCGCCGCTCATGAATAGCAAATGAGGAGACGGCCTTCCGCCTCAGCATCCAACCTCCCGCCCTGCACTTCTTTTCCAACCTCGTTTTCCTCAATCCGCTTATCAAATTTATTCTTTTTATTGTTTATGTCTCGCGCAGTTTTTTTAAGTTTTTGTTGAGTCATTTTCCAATTATTGTTTTTTTTTTCAAAACACTTTACGTTGTTGTGCAATCAACGTTCATCTGAAGGCTGCCCTCGAGGTCAGGCCTTCATTGTTGATCTTAAAATAATTTACTGTAATTATTTCCCTTTCGTGCTTCATGGATTATTTCTTATTCAGGAACCTCTCGCTAGCTTCAAACTAGCGAAGTAGCTTTACACGAGACGCTTTTTTCAACCCCGCCTCATACGACCAGCTCATTTTCTCCTTACATAAACTATAATCATGTGCCGTGGTTCAATTAAGTTTGGAAGCACGGCCGGTGGATTTTAAATATTATCCGCCCGCGAAGCTGTGCATCGTGGCGAGTTTGCACCCCTAGCGTGCGACGTCGGGAGTCGCTGTTTTTCATTAAGTTCATGCGAAGAAGGTTTAAGACACTTGACTCAAATTGAAATTACACACGGGTTTGTAACGTAGTGTTTAGTTTCATTTGGAAATGTTGGCGCATTTTGAAATGTTTAGACAATTAGACGGTAAATTCATGAAAATTTCTGATTCAATCCATTCCGAACTGTGTGAATTATTTCAGTTCCAAAACTTTGAAGCGAATATAGTTAGGCAAATAACTATATCTAGGAAAATACTTCTTGTACGAGGTTTTGTTGAACAATACAATCGGTTGATTGCTGTAAGTAGTACTCACAGTATTTATATTCCGTATTTTCTAAGAATTATACAGGTTCTTTTACTTTCCCTCAGAGACTGGAGATGCCAGCAATTTACTGATATCAACAAGCGGAACGTTGTTGCCGAACTTGGCAGTTGCCTTTGCTTGAAGTCGACCGCTGCGTTGCCGTTTGTTTGCCAGGCCCTGGCAACTTTGTTTGCTCTCAGAATGAGTCGCCGATTTGCCGGCGCTCGTTACTTCTAAATGGTCTGCGCTCGAAACTGCCTTTCTTTGCCCGCGTTCTGCTACTCATCATGAAGGGCAACGCTTTTATAAACCTACCTTCACGAACCACCACGAGGAGCGTCCAATATGATTCGACATACTCTCATGAACTGTCAGTATGACCCAAATTGAACTCTCATCGCCATATGTTTTTTTAAATCGTTTATATTTTGATGTTTTTCAACTCAAAGCTTACTGGGAGTTGAGGCTTAGTGGATCCAACTGAACTCCATCAACCACTTTATCTACTGACAGTAACTTTCGTTACCAGGCCTCCAGGTACCAATACCATCGACGACTGTAAATTTTTCCGATGTCGCAGGGCTAGCTGCGTTAGATACAGAATTGTTCCTGTATATTTTCAACGCTGGAAACGTCAGCCGTTTAGTTACATCCTGAAACTTTTCACGTGAATGTCCTGTAACCCAATAACTATAGGTATTTATTTGTGAGAAATTCTATTATTATATAGTATTTCAAAATACAAGGTTTTGAAAAGCTCGATAACTTGAGTTATATTTCCTCAAATAAAGTGAATCGAAATAAAATCGTTTGCTTGGTCGTAATATTTTACGCATAGATGCATCCTGCTACTTTCTCCAGTAATTTTTTCCGAAATAAATTGAATAAATTAACTATTATTAACTTTCCTTTTATTCCCCATCAGCATGCGATGATTTTTCCAATCGTTACATTTATGATGCTTGTCCTAAACTGTCCGTGAACCCATCAAAAACACAATCAATATTTAATTTGTGTATATTGAAATTCAGAAAATTTGTCATGGTTACAATGCCCATTTGAGCTACATTGAATTTCTTATCGATAGCATGGAGAAATGCAGTTGAGACAATGGTAATTGTTACCGAATTTAGACCCAGATGATTATTAAAAATAAAATCAGTGGTATTTGCATTACAAATTGTTCTAATCGCAACTGAATACATGTTAATGATATTGAGACACAAAATCGTCTCACAATCTCAGGCTCGTTCGCTATTGCTTCGCACTGCATGACATCGTCCTATGAGCGTAAATTTCAATGACTTGAAGAAAATAACTAAGGAATTTATTTACATGATACCGAATAATTTTTGAAGCCGGAAATTACTATTTAATGAGCCATAATTTTCTACATCACTCTACTGTGGTACTTAAATCTTAGGTGTCATTTGCGTAGACTTTACGTAGCTTACGCTCATCTTTTACAGGGTGCGGCGCGGGAACTTACTTATTTGAATTGCGCGCCACGTGGCGGCCATTAGTCCTAGGAAGGTGGCGCCATGCGCAATATGGTGCGCGGGCTATGAAGTTTTTCGTCCACTCAGTTCAGTTGCGACCATGCAGTGGTCGAGAGAGGAGCGCGCGTTCGCAGTCTCTGTGTACTTTTCTAGTGGCCGATAAATGTAGCTCTTTGTAAAAAAGAAAGAATTAAAACGCTATCTTTAATACTTTTTACTTTGTGATTTTTTTAAAAGAGTAAGTTCCCACGCCGCACCCTGTATTTTCCCCGCTCTGAACACTCAATTGCTTTTTTATTACTTTTATTGACTTATCATCGTAACAATTCACCAGTATAAATATGGCGAATAATCTTTATGAAAAACCTTGAACCATATTTGCGAGCGTCGCTGACGAGGGCACATTCGCCCCCAGCGGTATAAATACCTCAGTTTACGCTGCAAGAAAACTTATAGCAGGGCGCTCGCTTTGGTTGGTATGTGGCTCAAAACGAGCCCTCTCGCCCTTCAATGAATCGTTATTGGAGCTTTTGAGAGCTGCGCCCGTCCTCTTATGGTGTATGGAAGCCATTGTGCTCTGACGCTGCCATCTGCTCTTGCCCTGCATCTCCCCCGCCCTTATATGCCAGCTTATTCAGTCCAGAGGTCGCCACTCGGATGTGTTTGCCTCCTGCATAACGTCTTATAAGTTAGCCTTATCGAACAGGTTACCTACGCAATGCTCGTTTGCCTGTTGAATTTTCTCATTATCATAACACGATTGCATGTAATATCTGAGCGGTTTATCTCGATATGTTACCATGTGTTTTTAGCGACAGAGCTCTCAGAATTTTACCGTGTTACGCGTCACAGTATGCGGTACTTTGCTTTGTATATATAGTGCCGCTTGCGATACTTTACAGTGTATTATGTTTGGTGCCATTTCACCCCTCATTGTACCGTGTATTCTTGATGACACCGCTCGCATGCTGTTAATGTCGAGAGAGCGGAAGCTGAAATGATCATTATAGTTGACCGCTCACCATCTGAGTCGCCAGTTTATACCGGTCAGGTTCGTAGGAACTTATTCCTACTAATTGTATCAGGCGTTCATCTTACAATATTATATAGATGTAAAGGATTTTTTTATTCTATTTACCTCTTAGTGCGCCCTTTGTTGGCTAAAATTTGAACAAGATGCTAGCGTTATATTGATGCAGATGTTCATGTTATTTCGTGTGCTAACTTGTGCAAATCTCTGTTTTGTGTTAACAGGCAATTTGTAGTGCGTGGTTTTTTTACTTTGTCGATACGCACGATTTTATTTGGCTAAAGTTAACTGCACTCTGTGGAAAAATCATTCTTCTTCCATAACAAAATGTGACTTTTTCCCGTGAGGAATTTCATGCAAGTTGGGAAAACATGTGTGCTGAAGTTGACGATTGTGTTCGTTAACCAGTGAAGTGAATTTCAATCTTATTTGTATATGCACCAACTTCTGATCTTGCGACTATAACACCTCTGGACGTCGCGTCATCATATTGTGAAGTGAAATATCTGGAAAAATGAAAGTGTTTCAGTGCCTATCAATTGCATTGTGAATTATGAGTAACTGTTATAATATTCGGACTGAACTCTTCACTCTATCGCAAAAATTCGATGAACTGCTATCCTAATTTGGAACAGATCTTGGATAAACCACATGTTGGAATTTACCCTGAATTTTTGTCGAGTTTCCTATGAAGAACCTAGTCCTCATAAACCATCATCTGGGAGGCTGCTATGTCAGCTTCAGTTACGCCAAGTGCTCAGCTTGAAAACTCTTTGTCACTCAGGAGCGCGCAGCTTGGATGCCGTGTATCTTGATCAGTCATGCCACGCACGCATTTTAGAGGAGCCATTGTGAGGAAAAAGAAAAAACCTTCGGACAACCTCGTGGTCACCCTGAAGCTGCCGATGTGATTCTGGAACCTACTGCGTCAATCTTCAAAGTCATTTTCAGTGCAAACAAACAATAATTCTTCCCTGTCGAGGAGCGGACAGAAAAGTTACCTCGAATGATTTAACACCATCAAGGCAGTCGTTTCTGTGACAAGCGAGTCCTGTCGATGGTAATTATAGAGGTCCATGACTAGCTGCCACACGCATCATTTTTCAAGAGGAAGAACGCGACTGCAGGATACCATGCACTGCTATGATCAAATATTGATATTTCCCATGGGGATTAATGGTTCTGTGCTTGTTCAGTAAACTGGTGATGGAATTGTGGCTGTCGATTCTTGTGTCTAAGATGATAAAGGAAACGGCTTGTAAGATTAAGTGAATCCATTTTGAAATAATGGTTTGGTATTGATAACACAAATTTGTGCTGCGTCTTTGAATGACTTCCTACTGTGTAAGCTTAAAATCTGGAAGTGAAGCATATTAAATAGCTTAAATATATATTTTTAACTACATACATATCACTTTTATGACTAATAACATATCTCTTTGGGTGATACTTTTCTTCGTTACTTTAGGGTAGTAAGTTAATATAAAACTTGCCATCCCTGCATATCCAAAGCTCCTGAACCCCATCTCTGGCTGCAACGCTGAGGACAGTCCATCCATTGAAGTTCTTTAACGAAACTCAATGAACAAACGTCGTGTAATTGGAAGATGCTGAAACCTCAGAAAGTTCGTCATGTACAAATAATCATGGTTGCATTGTGAGTGCAATACTGGGAGCATGAACTCGAGATGAGTCGTCGGAACAAAGCTTCATTGATGATGTTGAAGACTCGAAGATTACTTGCTCCAAGTTTGCGGACCGGAGGTTGCGTGGAACGTTTTACAGAAACATGAATGGATGAGTGAGCATACAATTAAAAAAACTGCGGATACCTGAACTACTTTCTTTGTGATAGTTGTTACTCATATTGAAGAGGTTATCACGTAATAATAATAATATTCGTCGCCAAGAAACTCGGTAGTGAAGTGTGATCGCAACACGAGGCGAACATAGTTCATCCCTGGGTCATCGTCAGTTGCCATGGCCGGATCACCGGTGAGTCTTTCCCTGCACTAAATTTATTATTTAATTGTTAAAATGTCATAGCCATGTGATCGCTCTGTTTAATCCAGAGAAATAATGTTGAAATAACGTTGATATCTATGAAACTACCTTTAATCAACATTCTTTCAACGTTAGTTGTCTGACTGTTTATGCTTTCCCATGTGTAAGGTGCCATGTTTCACACAAGCGCCGTCGGAACAATATTTCTTTTAGCGATTCTCTCCATTGCAAGAGGAAAGATAATTGCCTCTGTCCATGTTTCACTTGATGCGCTCGGATGATTGAGTGACTTGACTCAAGTGTTCATTTGCTAGTTTGAACTTCAGAATGACTGGATAATAACAGTATTTTAATGCTGCGTTTCCGTGAGATTTGTACCGTTAATGCCTTTCAGGATTAGCGCGATGCACCATGCCATTGGAATTCATAGCGACATTCGCGTAATTGGCAAAATATTTGTTCTCAATTTAAAGAACAAAATTTTTTTATTTCTGCGTTCGTCCCTTTGGTGTAAAAAGAAATCCCTGCTTGAACTCCCAGAGATCATTGCGAAATTGTTCACTCGATCGCTTCCGTGTTGTGCTCGAGCTTCTTTTTAAGGTATGGTATTGTGTTCGATATCTCTGGTTGTTGCTAACCAATTGAATACGATTTGGTAGTGTCGAACTTCACATAGAATGCCTGGTTGTAGAATATTTGCACGACGTTCGTTTGTTAGATGTTATTCGGAAATGGTTAATGAGTATTCGTGTATAACAGCAGACAATGATTAGGTGTACGTAGTTATGAGTTCTAATAATGTATTGTAATGAGGAAGTGTTAAGGTGGAGGTGTAATGCTCATATTCCTCTCCTGTTAGGAATTGTTTCTTCTTCTTTGTGTTCAGTTTCAGTGATCACGTTTGATTTTACGTCTTCTCGCCTATTTTTAAGATGCTACAGTGATCTCTATGCCATAAATTTCAAGTTCCAAATCTTGAACTTAATCCTAAAGCTCTAATCTAACTTCATTAGCCTTTTATTGGGCCATTTTTATCTCGCAAATTTTCTGTGTCATTTCCCCTTATCTACGAAGAAAGATCCAATGAAGACTCGCTCAGGAATCGTGCTGGAACTCTACGGATACTTCACAGTTCACATCGTGACGAGTTGCCTTAACATTTAACACTAATTTCTACTTATTCTTGTTCCCAGGAATGTGCCAAACACCCATCTGTGCAATAACGTCATTGTATATTACACAACTAAGTTACGACTATTGTATCCTATTAAGCGTTTAAACTAATTTCCATAAATACGGTATTCTTTTCTGTTTATCAAGAAAACTCGGAATTCTAACATTATTTGGATCTCAGTATTTCACAGATAGAAGTGGCGATTAACTTTACACGTTTCTAGCGTTCAAAACGACGATAATTTCATAACTGTCACTAAAAGTTTCTTCAGTCTTTTCCGGAACCGCGCTGAAACTGAGTTGCGGAACAGCTATTACCAAGACGCGTGAATATCCTCTCTCATTTCCAGTTCCTGTAACAAATTCTGGTGCTAAGGTCGGCTGAACTATTGAATATTCCGTTGTTTGTATTTTTTTTTAATCTGGAGCATACCTGAGAAGCCGTACTCGTACACTAAAGAATGGAAGTTGCCCTATTTAGTCCAGATAATCTAAAAGCTCGTTTATTGGATACCATAGCGACTTGTCTGCCATCTCGCACCGGACTTCTCGACATCATCCATGCAGCGTGATGCCGTGGTTGTTATGGCGCGTGTCTTGTGACGCGCTGCCTTCGTCTTACAAATAAGCCCTGCCGCCTCCTGCCAAGTTTAGTGCGCTAACAAAATCTCGTCCTGGTGATGTGTCATCTCAGCCTGCGTCTCTGACAAACGGATTGCGCTATACCGAGCCAACCGTCTGGATTTCGGCGCCTTAGGCCCTGCACCTTTACTTTACTGAGTGTTATTTATTGAAGATTTGATTATGACGAAAACATTATTATGAATGATAATCATCAATGCATCCTTTTTTCCATTACTTGACTTGAATTTACCGTTTTATAAGGACATGCTTCCTGCTCTATACCTCGTCTATTTTTAGCCAGCGAATTAGTCAGGGCCTAACTCGTGATTAGTGGTTGCCGTAGGAGAAAACAACTTTGATGTGGGAAAGTTTTGATTTTCATTTAAATTTTCTTATTTATGTCCCTAGGCATACATTATTTTAACACGTTGCTTCCCCAATCCTCTTAAGTTACTCGTAATCGGAAAAATTATTGCACTAATGAAGCCACTAAAGGCCAGTGATGCGGTGGCAGTCTGCTGCTAGCTAAGGTGGTCCTAAGGGACGCCGGACGCCGCTGGTGTTGAGTGCAGAACTAATTACTGCGCAGGGGCTTCTTTCTGTGCGCGCGCTCAACAAATAATTAAGCGTTGCGTCCAGGCTTGCGTGCTCTGGAAAACTCTCAGCCCCATCGGGGATTTCGCGGTCGTAAATTCCGTTTTGACGTTCGCGAGTGGCAAGTTCAGTTAGCAGCGCGAAACGTGAGCTTGGATTCAAGATGCTAACATCGTTGATCATTGGCCTGTCCCACAGAACACACGTGTTCGCCTCGAGGTTTTTGCTGAATGTTTTCTTTTGAATCCTTAACTCGTGCGTTGCGCTCTATGGCCGGCGCTCTATTTCATTACTTGCAGCAACTCATGAGGCTCATTTCTCCCGCAACCGCGCCACCGTTTGTGTTCCGAGCAAAAAACTTGCTGCAAATCTTGCCGGTCGGAGAACTGCCAAACTTTTGCTCGGTTCCTCCCAGCTATTGAGCCCCGGCATTCTATTATGCCGCCTAATACCGGGGCATTCTTGCCGAGGCAAAGTTATGTCGTGAGATGTATTTACGCTGCAACAAAATTCCCTTTTCTTTCCAGAGATACTTGGAACGGCTCAAGTTTTGCTGCCAGCAAGGAAGACGCGCTTCCATTTTTCCCTGTATAATTAAAGAAGTTCCAGGAAATGGAGTGGCTCTTGAAGAAGAAGTGGGAGGACAAGACTTGCTGGTGTCGTCATTTTTAATGCTCACTGCCCATCACAAATTTTTTTAACCTCACTCACTTGGAAACATAATTGCACGAACTTCAAGTTTTGTCGGAAATAAATTTTGAATGTCAAAAGGCTCCTGGTCTCGTTAATTAATTTCTCGCTCAAAAGAAATGAACCAACTTTCTTGATGAGGCGAAGGCGTTCGTGTAGAAATCAGAATCAAATTAAGTATACAGGCTTCCGGAGCGTCAAGACGAATACTCCTTGTTTGTATATTGTTTTTTAGATTCCCCTTGCCGTCTTTTTTTATATGAAAGTTGTCGTAAAATGCGTTTGTTGCACCGGTCGAATATGTCTTATACGAGATCGTTATGCATGACTTAAAATAACGGTTACGTTTGAGTAATGACTTAGAATTCAGGCATGACATACGACTCAGCAGTCATGCATAGCATTCCGCCGAAATCGCGGAATTGCCGATTCTATATGAAATCGGCAGCCAGTTGCCGAATCTGTAGAATTAGCATTTCTAAACTATAGGAATCTGGGGTCAGTTCAGTCAGCACAGTTCTTTTTTTTTACAATATTTAAATATAAAGGAACTTGACACCCAACTTGACCTAACCTTTTCTAACTCAGTCGTTTTATGTTCTAACTCTAACGTCCGATTTTCTGAATCAGCAACGATATGCTGATTCTACAGATTCGGCAAACTGTCTGCTGCCGATTCCATAGAATCGGCACTATTGCGATTTCAACACTACACATTTATGGCTCACGACGTAATAATTAGGCATGACGCAGCAGTTACGTGTGACGTACGACCGTAGGTCATGCATGTGTGCCGCATGACGCTGCAATTTGTGTGATGTGATAACCGTGGCTGCGCTGTGGCCGGGCGTAAGAATCACGTTGTTGGCTGTATAGCTCGTCTATAACCGCTGTATGGCCGTAACATAACCACGCAACCCCTGCCTTATCCGCGGCTATCATCACCAGCTCCTACACTGCCGCGCTGCACGCAACTTCGTTTGCTTCCAACTCCTGCACCTGTACGGGCCCATATGAGCTTCATGTCTTGGGGCTCATCGTATTATTTTGTTTGTCCACAACCATCTTTGTTGCTAGGTAATCCTTTTAGCTGCTGGCGGCTCTCTATGTGTAGACCTATGCTCTAATATGATCTCACCAGTTATGCTTTGGCATCTGACTGATTTATCACTTGAATTTAGATGTGTTTGCAATTATGTCATCATGTATCCTATCAAGTATTTAAAATAATTGCCCTAAATACACTATTCTGGTCAATACACTATTCTCGGAATTATAACCTCATTTGAATCTCAGTATTTCACTGATAGGAGTGACGAATAACTTTTCAACTGTCACATATATAATGAAAGTGTGATTATTTACATCATACTCTCGTTCAGAACGTGGTAATGGTCACAATTTAATCAGGTTTTGACCTCCGCTAACACGTCTCACTGCCGAGACTCGGCATCTGTTTTTGCAGCTAAGTGTCTCCTGTCTCTTCTTCTGTCGGGGCCTTGAAGCTCGCAGAGACGAGAAGAATAACTGACTTAAAATATGGCATTTATTTCGTCGCGGATCAATAATGTAAGCTTTCGTTGAGTTCTCGAATTCCGTTTAGGATCTCTCAATGGCTTTCTGCATTGACACTTTCAGCCATTAAAGACCTGTTTAGATAAAGATTATTCAATGAGAGCTCTCACCCTTTTGGGAGAAACCTTTTCCAAAACACATTCCTCTCAAGTGTTTTTTTCGGTTAGATGTGATACATTGCAAAAACACGCACACTGACTAAAAAAGTGCTTTCTGTGAATTTCGAACTTTCTGTTGGCGCAATGCCTTCAGTTTGGTTGAGTTTTGTTTTCCTGGCATCTGTTCGACACGTTTGACTGCTGTCACTGCATCCAACTTTTTATCGTGTGGATCTG